CTCTCTCTCTAGCCTCTTCAGTAAACCTTGCTATTTTAATAGGTAGCTGGAGGCTGAAGGTATGAGAAGCCCTCCTGGAGCTGATTTAAAGGTAATTAGAGTATGTGTCTTTAAAGTCCCTTAGGATTTCCCACATAGCTGAACCTTCACCTATAAAGTCTGTGCCGACCTCCCACTAAACCAGACCTTGCAGTCTAAGGTTCATGAGGGCATGGGTCACAGGACATGGAGGGAGCCGAAAAGTTACCTGGGTTATCTCCCTCTCCTTACACACTTGTAGTTTTGTGTTATTTCCGTTTTATTTATTTTGTTTTGTTTGTTTTTGGTTTTTGCCTTTTTAAAGGATAATTCTACCATTGCCTATATTAACTGTAACCCACTCTCAGGCTGAAGGAATCTAGAGGTGTATATCATGTTTCTTTACTCTGATTCACCTCCAGCCTTCCATGTGCTGCACCGGGGCGCCCCTCCCCCATCTTGCTGAGCTGGGAACCGCTAGGAAAGTATCTGTCAGCTCATCCTTCTCAGACACCAGGGCTGTTCAAAGGGAGTCAGCTGGCAGAGGCTGTAGTGACTCAGAAAGGCCAACTCCAAGTCCACATGCCCCACTCTCTCTCTCACCCCACAGGATGAGCCCACCACCAGAATGGACCCCCAGGCGCACCGCATGCTGTGGAACACCATCGTGAGCATCCTCAGAGAAGGGAGAGCCATGATCCTCACCTCTCAGCCAAGAGATGCCCAGGGTGGGGAAGGTGGGTGGGAGTCCCTGCCTACTGCCTCATCTCCTCTCTCCTGTACCACAGCATGGAGGAGTGTGAGGTGCTGTGTACCTGGCTGGGCATCATGGTGAAGGGCACCTTTTAGTGTCTGGGCACCATTCAGCACCTCAAGTACAAGTAAGCAGGCCTAGTGTGTGTGGGGGTCCTTTTTGCTACCTTTTTTGGGGGTTGAACCAGGCCCTGTGTTCTCTGTGGATGCTTGGGAGGATCCTGCTGCCCCTCATCCCACCTGCTAGTGGTAGCAGAAAGCATTGTGCTAATAAGAAGTTCCTCTTTATTGGGCTAATTGCTTGTGGTTGAAACACTGATTCAATGTCACCACTTATCCTGACAGATCCAAGACCTCCCTGTCCTATTTCATGACAGTCCACAACCAATATAAAAATGATTAGGAGACCAAACAACTTGGAAACCAAATTTCTTCTCTAGAATAACATGTGGTTATTTTTCAAACCAAAGTTTGAAAAATAAACACATGTTACAATAAGAAACTAAGGATGCCAGTACTCTTGAGTAGAATTATCCTGTGCTCATAAATTGTTGTAAATAATTCCTTATTTACAGTTTGTGTGCTGAAGCTAACAACCAGTTAAAACAAGATTATCATAATATTGCCAGGTTCCCTTGCATTCTGACATGCCTTCTAACCTGGGAAAGAGTGGGTTTATAGTTGTGGATTTTATTTAACACACTTATCAAGAGCCCAGAATCTAAAACCATGAGCTAGGGACATCACAGAATCTACCTTACCTATGCTGATGTGCTTAATCTTAAGGATCTGTGAAAGTGTATTTCAGTGAAAACATTCAGGCAGAAAGGTCTAGTAGGTGAACTACATTTGGCAAATGGATATTTGACCCTGATTTCTTGAGCAATTACAGTCTCCAAGCTGGATATTTATGGGGACACCAGCATGTGTCAGCAATTCCTTGTGCCCAACTGCTGAGGGATGACCCCCTACTCCTTTGCCTCTCATTCCTCAAGATCTCCATGATTGAGGAGATGAGGAGGTATGTCCCCATGTGGAGGGACATCAATTCTCTGGAGCTGAAAGATGGATAGAGAATGGCCCTAGGTCAAGGAGGGAGCTTACAGTGATAATGAACATTATACACCATGACCTAGCCATGTATACATGCCAGATGGCCATAAGCATACTCTCTGCTTCATCCTTCATCCTCCCTGTGAAAGTTACCAGCAACCTGGTGAAGGGAGGAAGAAGGCACTAATGGCCCTGTTTCTGGAAATTTCCTCAGGGAAGTGCTGTCTTCCCAGGCCTTTGCTTCCCCATGGCTGGTGTCCTGAAGGCCAGACAGCCCTTGCCACCCTATGCAGTATGCACTGGTCACATGTCTTTATGGTTGGGCCTGGGATCTCCACAGGGCTACAACCACCTTTGACTTCAGAAAGTACATTTGTGCCACTTTACCACACATATTCAGACCTTTAAAAACTGGTACCAAAAAGTTTCTCTAAGGACTACTACATTTTTTTTCTCCTAGTTTTAAACATGCACAGATGGCCAATGGTGTGGGCCTAACCCCAGTGTGCAGGATGAGTCTACTCCTTATTTTGGGATTGCCTTTGACCCATCCACTGACAGGCCTGAACTGCACTGTGCATCCCTTAGGTTTGGAGATGGCTACATTATCACAATGAAAATCAAATCCCCAAAGGATGACTTGTGTCCTGACCTGAATCAGGTGGAACAGTTCTTCCAGAGGACTCCCCTGGCAGTGTGCAGAGGGAGAGGCATTACAACATGCTCCAGTTCCAGGTCTCTTCCTCCTCTCTGGCCAGGATCTTCCAGCTGCTCCTCTCCCACAAGGACAGCCTGTTGATCGAGGAATACTCAGTCACACAGACCACAGTGAATCAGGCAAGTCCACTCCAGTGTACCAGGCACAGGAGAGAAGACTGTGCAAAGACAAATGTGCCAGAATGCCATCATGGGCTGCAGTTGACACAAGAGGCAGGCATGACATTCCCGATTTTAACACACTCTTGTCTCTGTCCATTAGGATAAATCTTGATAAATCAGAAATTGTTTTCTAACAATGTTACTCATCATCCAACTTCACTTATTTTGTTTTTCAGATTGTTTTTCCTTTACATGTTATTTTTTCTCGTTGTGTTTGGTGGTGGCTTTTTTCTTTTCAAATCAACTTTGTTGTTATATAATTTGCATACAATAAAACAAACCTATTTTAAGTGCACATTTTGGTGAGTTTTGATAAATATGTCCCATGTGTATTTTTACAATGTAACCACACTTTTTATTGTGGTAAAAAATGTTTGTGTAAAATATATACAATTTACCACTTAACCATTTCTAAGTGTGAAGTTCAAGAGTGTTAACTACCATCACCACCACCCATCTTCAAAGCTCTTTTCATCTTGCAAAACTGTAACTGTGTCCATTAAACTGTACTGTTCCATTTCCTCCTCCACTCTGCTGCTTCCACTAGCAAATATCATTCTTCTTTCTGTTTTCTCTGAAACTGGCTATTCTGTGTACCTCACAGAAGTGGAATCATGCAAAATTTGTCCTTTTGGGACTGGCCTATTTCATTAAGCATAATGTTCTCATGGCCTATCCTCGTTGTAGCATGTGTCAGAATTTCCTTCCTTTTTAAGACTGAATAATAATCCATTGGGTTTAGATGCCACATTTTGCTTATCTTTCTATTAATTCATCAGTGGACATCTGGGTTTTTTGGTGTTATTTTTAAAAAATGTGTTATTGTTCTTTACTAAACACCCTCAAATATAATTCAACAAAGACAGTAGAAATAGGCAAGTTACCCTTTACTCCTTGAAGAGGAACTGGCTTACCTGCTCACCTGTACCTTCTTATCAGCCTTGAGCAGGTGAAGGCCAAACTGGATTCCTTAGGCAGGAGTTGTGGCCACAATGTACATTGAATGAAGATCAGAAAAGAGTCAAGTACCTTTTCTTAGTTCCTTCTTTAGCAGATTAGGAAGGTACTTTCTGAGAATTTGCCTTGCCTTGGTTACTCCAACATCTGTACTCAAAGTCCTTTGAAACTTCTAGCAGGAACTTCCTTGGCTTGGCTCGGGATCTAAGATGCAAGCTCTGTCTAGGGCACCAGTGGCTGGGTTTGTGTGCGTGTACCAGCCTCCCCTGGTCAGGGCACCAGTCACCCCAATAGGGCTGTATGTTAATTGGAAAATACAGAGTTAAGTGGGTAGGTGGGTGTAGGGTGCTGTTTTTCTGGAGACATCTACTTATTCTTACTCTTCTTTCGACTCCAGGCATTTGTGAACTTTGCTGTACAGCAGACGGAAACTCATGGACCTTCCTTTGCATCCTTGAGCTGCTGGAGCCAGCTCAATAATTTTAAGTACACATTTTAAGTGCACATTTTGGTGAGCCAAAGTACTGCTGCCCTTTCTCAGTCCACTGCTTGAGGCAGATCTTGTGCTCCCAGGCCCAGTTGGCCCACTGTACCTGAGGTGCCCCAAGGCTCACACATACCTCCTGCTGAGAGCTCCACTCATACCATGCCCCTACCACATCCTTGTTACATCCCTACCACTTTGCGCTGAAGGTCTTGTTGTTCCTGTTGTAATCTGGAAACCATTTGGATAGTACGGAAGAGCATTTTTTTTGATCTATCTATCTATCTATTTTTGGTACTGTGGATTGAATTCAGGGGCACTCAACCACTAAGCCACATACTCAGCCCTATTTTGTATTTTATTTAGCGCAGGGTCTCACTGAGTTGCTAAGTGCATCGCCATTGCTGAGGCTGGCTTTGAATTTGTGATTCTCTTTCCTCAGCCTCCAAAGCTGCTGGGATTACAGGCATATGCCATTGTACCCAGCATTTTTATTTATTTTTATATTATTATTATTATTATTATTCCAGGAATTGAACCCTTAAAGCTTGACCCACATCCCCAGCTCTTTTTATTCTTTGTTTTTAGACAGAGTCTCACTACGCTGCTTAAAGCCTCACTAAATTGCTGAGTGCTAGCTTCAAACCTTCAATCATCCTACCTCAGTCTTCCCAGCTGCTGGAATTGCAGGCATGCACTGTTGAGAGGCACAGCCAAAGGGGCCCCAGCAAACTTCCAGCTGCCAGCAAACTTCCAGCTGCCAGCTGATGATTGGCTCACAGCGGCCCCAGCAACATCTAGCTGATTGGCTCCTCTGCGGTGATGTTCAT